GAATTTACGGAAAATTAACTAACGAACGGAGACGTAACACCGGTTTTATACTCTTGGATATATAACATGGGTGCACTGCGCTGCGTCATTCTACTTCTGTTAATGTTAGCCAATCAGGCTGAAAGGTCAATATAATAAAAATAATAAATATATATAAATGCATAATTTTATGAGAATTAAGCTATTTAGACTAAACAGTTATGTTTTATTGTTATAAGTTGTCGTCATTCTAGAAAGAAAAAACCTTAATTTATATATATTTCCTAATTTTTATGGTGGTTACAGAGGTCCGTCAAATCGACCCAACCCATATAGAGATACAGTAGTGAAAATAACAAATAAAATATTCTTTTTTTAAATTTTGATAATTAACTGAAGATTATAAAGATTTTGCAAGTGAAATTTGAACATGTTCTGATGCATAAAAGTTTTTTTTATCTTTGCATATTTGGATAGTCAACATTTTAAAAGAAAAACGACACGACATAAACATTACTTAAGAAATTTTAAAACGCAATTTATGCCTATGTTACAAATCAACCTATTTGTACAAAGTAACCATGATAGCTAACACACTGGCTGGTTCACTCTCTATCTTGAAACCACTTTTCACACTTCATAACTATCCTTAGAACTTTCTAGGTGTTCTACACCCTATAATTCACAAAAAAAATTACAACATAAAACTATATTATCCAGCTGGCTATTCTCTCACTGATATATTTCCAAAGATAATCACAATAGATGATCTTTGGCTTGGATTGCCTCCCCTCCAAAGATCTACTTAACTTTGGAGTTTGTTCTCTCTTATGACAAAAACTGTTAAGCTATACCATCTCACCTCAATGGATTAAAGTTTTATCAGCACTTATAGCATAATTACCTTTCTTGTTATCACAAAGCTTCTCTGAATAAAATCATGTATGACATTTTTATTTTTCAAATACAGGAGAGCTCTTCTAAGCACCAATCTCTCAGGACATGCTGGACTATTTGGTTCCACTTTGTCCCAGTCATTAAATGAAAAATTATTTTTATTAACTCCTGATATGCATATCTCACTTCTTCATGGTACAATGACCATCATCTTTCTGTCCACTGGACATTTAATTTCTGGTGAACGTCACCTCATAAATCCAATTAATGGCTCACAATTGTAAGAGTTACCTCTTTCTTGTATCATTTGGACGTCACCTTCAACAACTGAAGTTCTATTATATATATTTTTTCAAAGTCTTATTTAAGTTTCACTAAAATATCCCACTCCGGACACCAAATGTTATAACATCGTTCTTTCGTCGATAGGTTCTTTTAAATTATATGGGACCCCCAGTGGCACAGCGGTATGTCTGCGGATTTACAATGCTAGAAACCGGGTTTCGATACCCGTGGTGGGCAGAGCACAGATAGCCCAATGTGTAGCTTTGTGGTTAATTTCAAAACAAACAAACAAATTATATGATGAAAATAACTCAACTTCAGTCCAGGTAATAATAATGAATTACTTTATTGCTTCTCTTAACGTTTTTACAAACTTGAACACTTGTACACTACAGTAAATTGATGTAAGTCTACGTTACAAATGACGTTAAATAAAAACAAATCAACTTACATGTACAAAGCAATCGCGGTAACTAACACACTGACTGGCCCATGAACTACTTATTTTGAAGTCACTCTACATACTTCACAATTATGTTGTATTTATAATCTAGCTTAGAATATACTAGAAAAAACCCATAAATCTTGAAAGCATATTCTTTTAACTTTCTAGGCGTTTTACTCTCTCTAGCTAACAAACAAATTACAGCATTAAAATATAGCTTATAATAATACCAATAATCACAATGTTATGCTCAATGATATGGTCAACTACTTTTGTTCTATAAAACACATAAGGTTTTCAATATCAAATATTTACAAAAAGATATGTGGCTTCCTTTACAAATTCAAATACTGTTTTTTAGTTAAAAAATACAGTTGCAATAAAATTCTATAATACTTTGTATATACATTTTAACATTTAAAAATATTTACAGGCAGTTATGAAATGTGTTTTTTATCATTACTATTTAAAATCGGACTGATCGTAATTTATCAGAGAAACTTTAAATGGGCTTTACCTAACCCAGCGAGCTGGAAAAATGGGTAAACCGAAATCTAAAAAAAATAATTCTATGATAGAGCAAGAGAAAGAACAAAGGTGATTTTATATTTAAGAATGCACTAATGATAATGTAGCTTTATTATGTTGGTTATCGTTTTTCATGATATTGCAGTGTTATGATTTTTATTATAGATCCTTGTACAGGCCATGTTCGAAAGTACGCACTCACAATTGCAGTTGTAACGTTATGATTATGTCGTTACGTATTTCCGATGTGAGGCCAAAGTTATTACATGGTTTTTGCAAATCAGTCAATAACCTTGTCAGCTTATGTATGATTAAATTCCATGCAATAACATTTATCAGCTCAGCTGTTTGATATTCTGAAAATAGAACTACTTTGTTGATCATTAATTGATTGTTTAGTGTAGATAGTAACAACAGAGCCTTCCATTTCAAACCAAAGTTCATAACATTTTACACTTACGTCAATTCTACTTTAAATTTTAATCTGTAAAGCATATTTCAAAGTTAAAGACTTGTAACACTAACAGCTCAATTATGCAATATTTTTGAAGCATAACCTCAAAGAAACTATTTGGTTGCCTCTAAGTCTAGGATGTCAGAAATTTGACCTTGTCAAGCTAGGGCTCAAAAGTCGGGTTACTTAATAATATATTAAATGTCATTACTTGTTAATTTCATTTTTATTATTATACTTCAATTATAGAGAATGTTTTACATTGCTATTTTCATATATATATATATTTAGGACTAAATCTCACGGGATAGTACCGGAATTACAGCCAAAAATATCATTAACACTAAGGGTACACCACTGACAAAATAATGCATTTTAATCGCTATAAGTAGAAATGTAAGGAAAGTATATTTAATTAGCTATACTACTTACCAGGTTGATTATTAGTTTTGCTCTAATTACATAGCTTGCTGTGATTGAAAGTTGATATTAGTCATAAATCACTTGTCAACCAATAGCAGTAATAAAGACAATGGAATAAAAGACAAAGAAAATTACACAAATATGTAAAAAAGTAAAAAAAATATATAGAGACTATATACACTATATAAAAATATATAGTGTACAAAACAAACAAATTATAAGTAAGGATAAACAGAACAGTAGGGTTTAATAGCAAGTGTTGAATAATAATTGGAAGCCAGTGATTAGAAAATTGTATTAATTCAGATGGTTTACATGGTTTCAATAATTGGCTTAGCTGTTATTGATACTGTTTTCCAAAATACTTTTTTGACTTTTTTTTTACCTGTTTGTGTAATTTTCTTTGTCTTTTTTTTTTTTCCATTGTCTTTATTA